CTGTTAGCATGCTTCTCACTTCATTCTTTAAACCTTCAATCTCCTTGGCATATTTTTCGGCTAACTGTATGATTCCACAAGAGTAACATGTTATAATTCAAACTAGTTTTCACTCCTTTAATTCACATAGAACAGTGTATAATTTTAAAATGAAAAGCATTCCATAATAAATAAAAGGAAAAAGGGATCGATTTTTACCTCAGCATCGAAAGCAAAATTGATAAACTGTTCCCCCCATAGGCTGGGAGAGAAGTTTGCGACTGGACGAACAATCTCGTTTTTGCCCAAATTGCTAGCACTTTCAGCAAGAGCCGGGGCCATTTTGATTTTCTTCTGGTAAATGGAAGAAGATGAAGAATAAGAAATAGCTATGTAATTAGCTGAAGAAGAATTTATGTTGAAATTACAGAGGATATAGCTCTACTTGATGATGCTGATCATAGACCAAAGTACCTGTATTTATAGTAAAGATGAACAGGTGGTGACTATAACTATTTTGAATGGCGAGATTTCTTAGGCAGGTGGTCATATTTGACTACAATCGTAGAGTATGTATTGGCGTCTGAATATTCTATCATTCTCTATTTTACTAATTGCATAGAAAGGAAAAATATTCATGTAGGGCCTGCATGGATTTTCCCTGAAACTAAAGAGTTCTTTCAAGAATCGAAAGTCTTAAAAATATTAAAACGAAAGTTTTATAGAAATAAGTATTAAAAAACATCTCAAATATTATTAAAACTACGTAATTGATTAAATCGATAAAATAATGGTTTGAATATACAAATATAAAAAAAATAAAGGAATAAAGCTCCTGCACAGACTCCTTTGCACAGGGTCTGTACAGGGGCTCACACATGGGGGTGGACTCCACATGTGGACCCTATGTGTGGGGTCGACCACCATGCGTGTGCATCTGTATACAGCCTGTACAAATGGGTCTGTACGAATAGCACAACTGAAAAATAAATTTATCAATTGTTGACAATAGATTTGGGATGTCGTTATGAATTTTGGATGCATTGGACATTGGATTTGGTTAAAGTATCAATGAATGAGATAATTGAGATCAATATCCCGTTATTTTAAGAACACTTTGAACATTTATAAAACACAAAATCAATATAACTCAATATATATATAAAGGAAAACTTCACCTTATGCGTTTTTGGGTTACTACAGGCTTTTGCAGCTTTGCTTGATTGGTTTTAAGAATATTTTAATGGAAAATGGAAAGTAAAGAATTTACAATAATAAAATACAACTGTTTTACACTAAAAGACGGATAAAAGTAAAATATTTCAAAAATCACAAACCAAAAGTACGGTTTAATGTTATGTTTGGCAAGTGTTTATGTCTATATTATATATTAAATACTACTTCAAGTGAGAATCATTTTTTGAACAATTCTGGTCCTACTATAATTCAATTATTTCAACAATATCTTGCATTTCTTTTTTCTATATATATATTTAATATATTTAACCATTTATTTATCATCAGTGTACCCCCATACATTCGACATATTCATTTCACCTGAGTGCTTTCGTTAGTGTATGTATTTCCTATTGTTAATTTTCAATGAATTAACTTTCACATTCATTTAATTAATATTCATATTTCATCTTCATTTATGTATTTCACTGTTGTTATTATTATTTATAAGTTAATTAGAGTTTCACGTTCAAAAATGCATTTCATTATTCATATCCATAAATGCTAATTAAAATCCAGTTTTTCTTAATTGGAATTAAATATCATATCAAGCGATAATCATTTTTTGAATGATTTTGACCATACTATAATTCAATTATTTTAATAATACCATTTTTTATATATTTTTAATTTATTTAATCATTTAGTTGTCATCAATGTAACTATTTAATTATCATCAATGTACATGTACATTTGATAGATTCATGCCTGTGTGCTTTCATTATCGTATGAATTTTCTATTATTAATTATCAATTAATTAACATTAACATTTGCATTCATTTAATTAATATTCATATTTATTTATGCATTTCAGTGTTATTAATTCTAGTTATAAGTTAATTAGAATTTCACATTCAAGAATGTTTTTCATTATTTACGTTCATGTATGCTAATTAACATCCAATTTTACTTAAATTGGAAATAAAACAAATGATTTAACATTCATTGTCGGGTATATATTCTCTGATATTAGTTCTAAATTAATTAACATTCATGCACATTCAAATATTACTTTTACAGTACTTATAAAATATCTTAAAATAATACGCAATGCAGGATCAACATTGACTAGTACATATAAAAATTAGTGGATTGATAAATTGGCAATAATTTGAGTTCCATGAATTATGTGAATAAAAAATTATTTGCTTTTGACAAGTATTTATAAATATGTCATAAAAGCAAGAGGAGGAAATTTCTTTCACGTGCATAAAAAAGAATTTAAAAATTCGTCCATCTTTTTCAAGACAAGAATTAATAAACAACCAACCTTCTTTGACTGTAAAACAGTTGTTTGGCTAAGGCCTCGTGCGCTTTTTCGTCGACATCACGTGCGTAATAATAAATATTTATTTCGTCTTTTTATTTTAGAATTATATTTCAGGTGTTTGTTTTCCATTTTGTAATTGTACTGTTTATTTTTTTAATGTTATTTAATATTAATTTTCGTGTATTTTTTCCCATACCCAAACACATTTTTCCAAATTAGAAATCTACTTTAGTATAGTGTATGTGACAATAACAAATATGAACAGAATAATCCAACATTAAAAAGTTAAATTTAATGTAAACTTTCGAAGATTATAAATCAAATTCTAGTGGATCAATAATCAATAATTTACTTATCCTCGCAAACAATGATTGTGCTATAATTAGATTACTTTTATTAAAAAAAATTAATAATTAGTGTTCACAAATTAAACCAAAAATAATTTTAAAATACGGTCAATTTGCTGAAAGATCTTTTTCAACACCAAACCAAATAATATCTTAATCAATATTGTTGAAATAACGAAATTGGACCGAACTAGCACGTAGATGGGTGAATTTGTGTATTATATAAATTAAAATTAACAATCAATAATAAGCAACAAGTCACAATTATTGTTTCTAGATAAACAAGTTTAATTAAATTAAACTCCAATTAATTAATCAAGCATACAAATCAAAGTAGTAAAAGTATAGCACACCAATATTTGTTAACGAATGATAAACTCCTTGAAGAAATCTTCACAGGGATTAAAAAAATCCGAACAAACCTTGTAAAACAAATACACTAGAAAAGATTTAACTTATAGTTGAACCAAACACAATTAAACCTTAATAGATTCTGACCCCACAAATTTTAAATCGCCGAAGAACTCATCAATTGTGCCACCTGCACTTTTCAAAACCTCTGGATTTCTTTTTCCTCCGTGTGGATCACCAAGAAAGAACTCGTTCCTCTCCAATTAAAACTCCAACCAGCTCTCCCCAACTTCAAAACTTTGAAGGCTATTTGGTAAATGATTTTATTTTTGGTATTTCGATGCTTTGATCTTGTTGTTGAGATAAGAGATTTATGGAATGTGTTATTGATCTTCAAAGCTTTATTTTCTTGAATGAAAATAGACTCAACCAACAATTGGGATGGACTATGGCTTGTATATTTATAATATGAAGTGTTTGGGATTGTAAAATCTACCAAAATCGCATTCTAGGGTTTAGTTAATTAATATGACTGCTCGTGTGCTGGTCTTGTGGACAACGAATGGTGGCTCCTCCGCTTGTGCACTCCATGCGCTAACATCAAGCAGCGGACTCCCTGCTAAAACCACTTGAGCATTCCTCGGGCAGACTTTGAGCAAATTTCGACGACTTGATCTTCTTGAGCTGATTTTGACTTCTTCCAAAGACACTCGCAACCTACCGACAACTCATCTGTAAGTACGACTCAATTAAATTACATTTTGAATACAAAACCTGTCGATACACTTTGGACCCAACAATCATTAATAAGAAAAGGAGATAAAAAATGAGGAATTCAATTCGTTCATGCAAGAAATATGATATAAGGAGGCTAGCTCATGTGTGTGTGTGTGTGTGTGTGTCGCATGCTTGCTATCTTAAAAAAGAAAAAAAGGGCTATTAGTTGAAGAAAAATGTAGTCACAAAATAACTGGGACTTGAAGTAGTCACTCACTACAGTGGAAATGGTTATTTGATGCGTGATCAGTAAATAATTACCATATTAATGCATCAAATAACCATATGCAATATGTATGCCACATATAACGAATGTTGTATTGAACGACTACGAATAACATTACTTTTGAAACTTTAAAAAGTATAAATAGTTGATTGCATAATATCCCCCTCTTTATTAAATCTTGTAAGTGGTTGCCCTCCTTATATCCAACAAACCGGACAAATTTGATATGATTCAAAGTTAGAGCACAACATCTAAGGAGTCGCATACGAAAATTCATTGTTTTTGAGGAAAATATTTCACAATTTTTCCATATTTTGTGGATTTTGTCTCTAAGCATGAACACCTATATAG